TGGGCCGTGGGGATTAGTCGTGGTGCGCGCAAGCTGGCCTGGACACCCCACGTAAATCAAAAAAAAAATTAACTTTGTTACAAGTTACACATTACCAAATCTTTCCTATTATTGAATAAGTCCAACTAAGCATAAAAAGCTATAACGACATGTATAAAAAGCTATAATGACATGTATAAGAGCTTGAAGACAATGACTTTATTAGAAAAAGTTGAGTTTGAAGACAATGACTTTATTAGAAAAAGTTTTAAGTCCCTATATTGTACTAACCCTTCTCATCCTAAAAAAAAGATGGAAGTTGAAGAATATGCATTGATAGTGCAATCATGAACAAGATCACAATCAACTATTGTTTTCCAATTCCACAATTGGATGACATAGCTAACTAGTTAAGGGTGTCAAGGTTTTTGCTAAACTAAACTTATGGAGTGACTATCATTAGATTGGTCTAAGGCTTGGAGATGAGTGAAATATATCCTTTAAAATAAAGGATGGGCTGTATGAGTAGTTTATGATGCTCTTTAGTCTAACAAATGCACCAATCACATTCACAAGGGTGATAACTCAAACTTTAAAATCATTTCTAGGCATGTGTATTGTAATATATTTGATGATATATTTATTTTCAATCAGAATATAGGAACACCTAAAACATCTGAAACAAATTTTCAGGTATGATGACAAGAGAAGTTTTATACTAACCCTAGCAAATGTTCTTTTCTTCAATCTAAGGTGAATTTTTTAGGCTTTATCATATTCCAACAAGGAGTGAAACAGACATTGAGAAGATTCAAGTAATTACAGAGTGTCTAGAACCATGGTTTTTTTTGTTTGAAGTTAGAAGCTTCTAAGGTGTAGCCACCTTTTATCATTAATTTATTGAAGTTTTTAGTATCGTATGGGCTCCAATCACGGAGTATTTAAAAGCCAAAGTATTTAAGTGGTTTTCTACAACAGTACAAACTTTTAAAAATATTAAGGAAAAGATGGCCGATGCTTCTATTTTCAAACTTTCTAACTTCTCTCAAGTTTTTAAACTTTTTTATGATGCATCCCACGTAGACATTAAAGGTGTGCTTAGTCAGGCAGGACATCCTATTGCATACTATACTGAAAATTGAATGATACAAGGAGGAAATACTTAACCTATGACCTAATGCATTTATTCAAACTTTGAAGCATTGAAGGCCCAACCTTATCCATCACAAGTTCATTCTACTTATATACCATTACTCCTTGGAGTACTTACATTCTCAAAACAATTTAAGTGCTAAACATGTTCAATGGTTAAGTTATTTACAACAATTCAACTTTGTTATCAAGCACAAAATTCGATACGAGAACAAGGTCACAGATGCATTTAGTCATAGGTCTCATCCATTAGTCATTCTCTCAACAAGTCATTCAATTTTTGTTTCAATGAAGAGCTGCTATAATACAAAGTTAGATATAGAGTAAGTTAGGGATTTTTTGAACAACAATCCTCCTATTCTAGTATCGAATTATGCAATAATATACGACTGTACTTCTAAGATGTCTTTAAGGAAGTTTATTGTTCAATAGTTGCATGGAGCGACAAGATATTTTGGGCAAGATAAAACATCATTTTTGGTTGTTGATTGCTTTTATTGGCCAAACTTGAGGAGAGACATCAACGCCATTGTGAATAGGTGTAGATTTTGCCAACTAAATAAGGGAAACAAGTACAATACTAGGCTGTATAATTCATTAACAATTCCATAGAGACCCTAGCTTGATTAGAGCATGGACTTTATTCTTGGCCTTCTAAGGACAGTGCATGGTAATGATTATATCATACTGGCGGTCGATCAATTCTTCTAGATAGTGCATTTTGTTCCTTAATGAAAGATCTTTGATGCTTCTCATACTGCTTCTCTGTTATTAAAAGAAATCGTGGGACTACTTGGCATTCTAGTTTCTATGATCTCTAACAAAGATGTCAAATTTGTCAGTTACTTTAAAAAGACACTTTGAGTTAAATTAGGAATGAAACATCTTTTCTCTAATGCTTTCCACCTATATAATGATGGTCAAACTGAAGTTACTAATAGAAATCTTGGCAATCTGATTAAATGGATAACTAATGATCATGTTGTAAATTAGGATTTAATTTTACAACAAGTTGAATTCGCTTACAATAATTCTGTCAATCAAATAACATGCATCACACAATTTGAATTGACCTATGGGTTTAACTCTAAGATTCCAATAGATATCACTTCCTTGCCTCTTCCTCAATAGACTAATGAAACGAGGTTGGATTTTGCAGTATTTATATTCAATTTACATGAGAGTGTCAAGTGTAAGAAGACAGATCAGGTTGTTAAATATGCTACACAAGCTAATAGACATACGAGGGAGCTATATTTTGAGGAAGTGGACTTGTTTTTAGTCATATTATGACCTGGAAGGTTTCCCCCTAGAACATATAACAAATTGCATGCTAGGAGAGGTGGTCCATTCAAGACCCTTATGAAGTTGGGAACTAATGCCTATTTAATTGATCTACCAACAAATTTCCAGTTTAGTCCAATTTTCAATATGGAAGATCTTACAACTTATTATAGTTCTGTATCCATTCAGAAGTGGAGACTCCTCCTTCAACAATCCCTCGAGTTTAGCCAACACCAAAAGTTGTTGATTCAATATTAACACTTCAGCTTGTGACACCAGGAGAGGGGGTTATCATCAATTTTTGGCGAAATGGGCTTCCAAACCCAACTTGGAGGCAACGTGGTTACAAGGCAGTGAAGTTCATCACCTTAAACCTCAATTTACTTCAAGACCATACCAAACATTACTTGCCTGAGGCAAGTTGCTTGGAGAGAGCAAATTGATGGAAGTTCTAACGATCAATAACATTAAAAACAAAGTCAAAGTAAAGAAACAAATTGAGTAACAAAAGAAAGAATGATGCTAAAGCTAATAATTATATTGATGCAAGTTCCAATGAATTGAAATATTTTGTGCATGCTAAGATCCCAGCAATGCGGAAGGAGCAGTTGAATTCCAGTAAACAATACCAATCATATAAGTAGCAGTAAATACTAACTATTCTTGTCTGTCTAGTTAGTTTTAGCTGTTAAAATTTGTTTAGTCATAAAGTAACTGTTGTTATTTGTAAGACTATTTAAGATAGGATAGTAATTCCATAAGGTAGGTTGCTGTGATAAAGTTAAACTTCAAATTGGTGAGATGAGAGTGATTCCTTGAGCTACCTGTTACTTATTTTATAATTTTGAAATTGCAATAAAATCCTGAGATTCCGTTTCTTTTTTGTCTTAATCCTCTTCCGAACAAGTTGTTGATTGAGATAACTTTATTTGCAAGCATTTTTTTCACCAGTCCACAGTGTTGGTGGCATTACAACATGAAGCTGATATCATGCAGTCATGACAACCCGAGATTCAGCTACAACTGGTGGTCTTCTACGAACTAATTTAAATTCCAAATAAGATAGACAATAAAGAATGCAATTTCCAAACCAAGTTTTTCCACAGATCATTGGTTTGTGGATGCTATAAATGAATTATGGATGAACTGAATATTATGCAAGGTTTAATCACCAAAGTTTAATTAAATGATGCAAGAAATCCCAAGTTAGACAAACAGAACTTCTAGAAATAATAGTTGGAAAGCTTTTGAATATATACGAAAACAAAACTGAGCTTTTGACAGAATCATGACTTGACCAAAATTTCCAGGTAGAGCATGGTTTGTCATTAAGTGCCAGTCAATTGGAAGGCTATGGCTACAACATTGCTATTCCAAAAGGGGGCATCTGGTGATGATCAATTCCTCCGGAGGCCTCTGCTTGAGGCCTTCTGGTATTGCCTTAAGCTTGGGGCAATCATAGAGTGATAATGAGCGCAGACATGGCATTGTCCTCCTTGTCGCAGTTGAGGTTGTTGTTGTTGTATCCCAATTTTCCCACTCCACCATATAGCGAAAGGTGAGCTCTTTCAACTTTGGGAATAAAACAATTGATTCTGTAATAGAATTTTGATCTGTGACAGGATCTATCCCAAGAAACTCAACACCAACGCATTTTACATTGTTGAAGTGTCCTATAAGAAGTTTTTCTAGAGATGGGAGTTTCCCCAAAGAAGGCAACTCCTTGCAGTTTACACATCCGAGGAGTTTCAAATCTTTCATCTTTGTAAGTAATGTCATCCAGCTGGGCAAAATTGATCCACCATAGTCGTAAACAAGTAAAGCTTCCAAGTTAGGATGTGGTTGCAAAGCTTCAAGAACATTTGTGATCAGCTCTTGCCCTCCGAACGAGAATGCTAGATCCAAACTTCTTAGGTGCTCCTTATTTTTCAAGTTCGCCTCCATCACTTCATTCACATCTCTGACCTTCTCCACCCCACTTATTTCCAGATGCCCTCTGAGATGATTGAGGTTTTTCAGTTCTCCAACATTACATCCTTCCCCATTCTCACCAATACAAAACTTGCTCAAAGTGCGGAGGTTACTTAATCTCCCAATTCCTTGTGGCAGTACGCTAAGGCTTTCGGTCTCTTCAATATTAAGATATCTCAGGTTGATTAGCTTTCCAAGGCCTCTAGGTAGTCTATGAAGACGTCTACAACCATGAAGTTTTAAGGCCAGCAAATTATACAACTTACAGATAGTATCAGGCAACACTACAAAATTCAAGCCAGATAAATTTAACCATCTTAAATGAAAAAGTCTACCAACAGCACTCGGAAGTCCTGTAATTGAAGTATGGCTCAAATCCAATCCCCTGAGGCACTGCATGCCATGAAATAGATCAGAAGGAGCTGTCTTCACATCCTTTTGTAGGACCTGCAGTGTACGCAGATTCTTCAGGTTGAAAATGATGGGATGAAACTGTTTCTCTCTACCCGTTAAGGTCATGTGACGGGCTTTCGTATGCAAAGAAGCCATCTCTAACACATTTTTCTCATCAAATTCGATAACGAAGCATTGGTTCTTTGAAAGAAACTGGGCAAAGCTTTGCACAATGTCATGCATCCTGCAAGCAACTATGCTGAAATTATCCCTGTCTCTTTCCAAATCTTGAAAGAATGAGCGCATTACTAAGTTATCAAAATACTCTGCACCTATTTGCTCCATTTCAACACTTCCCGTTGGAACAAGGAAACCTTGAGCCATCCAAAGCTGTATCAAAGTCTCTCTCTCTATCTTATGATCTCTAGGGAAAATAGCACAAAATGCAAAACACCGTTTAATGGGGGGTGACAAGTCATGATAACTCAATAACAGATGAGGAAAAATTCCCCTTTCAGCTTCTTCCAATTCCCACAATTCACTGTGAAGGACACTCTCCCAAGCTTGTTTCGTGTCCTTGAAGCGCATTAGACTCCCTAAGGACTTTACAGCCAGAGGCAGACCTTGGCATTTGTCTGCAATTTCTCTACCAATTATTTCTAAATTATCACGATCCTCTCTGCTCTTTCCGTAGAAAGCAAATTTACTAAACAATGACCAAGAATCCTCAGGAGACAATTTACCTAGAGGAAGCATGTAAGCAGCATCCATCATTTTTGAAACTCCCTCATTCCTTGTAGTCACTAAAATTCTACTCCCTTGGGCTCCAGATTTAAGGGGTACCTTTATTGGTTCCCATATCCTGAAGTCATCAGTCCATACATCATCCAGCACAAGAAGGAACTTCTTTCCCATGACGGACTTGCGCAGATGTTCTTGCAAATGTTGCCACAATATGTACGTATGGAGTTCATCAAAAGCATTAATGATCGTTTTTGCAATCCGGATCCTATCAAAAGGCTCGGAAACACACACCCAGATTCTGTGCTCGAAATGAGCAGTCACTTTATCATCACTGAACACCAACTGAGCAAGAGTTGTCTTTCCCATGCCTCCCATCCCAGCTATGGAGATAATAAGAGGGCAGTTCTCTTCTTCGCCTTCTTCACACAGCTTACTTATTATAGTATCTTTATCGAAGTCCCGACCACATACCTCTGAAACATCAATTAGAGGTGTAGTTTCCTGTCGCTCTGCTTCTTCCGTCTTGCCGTCAAGATCAAAATGGTACTTGTCTTTCTCATTTGCAACGTCATCTAGTCTTTCTTTAATACATTCCATCTTGCTACCAATATCACGATGCATAACAAGTTGATTGACACAAAAACATGGTGAAAGAAAGTTGGAGAGACGTACCATCTTCTTGGAAAGGGAGGAATGATGACGGTCCATTATCTCCATTCTTTTGGGTTCACAGATCTTGGTGTTCCATTCATCTAGCAAGTCATCCAAGTCATAAGATATGGCCTCAAGCTGTTCTAACCAAACCCGCACACTCCTTTCTTTCACTTGCTTTTTCTCAGCATCAATGAGCACAGATCTGATAGCAGTGAGGGTTGTAGTAAGCTTTTCAACCTTCTTTTTCCCACCAAGGATTAATGCTGACTCATTTTCAATGGTTGAAGTTAGCTGCTGCAAGACCTTTGATACAAGAGCATCAGCCATGGTTAGCGCAGCAGGCAATAATTTTGTGGTTGATGATGGAGGAGCAGCAAAACGAAGAAAAAAAATATCATAAAGTCAATGTACACGCTTTTTTTTAAGTTTTCTTTTTACAACAATGCTTTGTACTTTTTCTTGATAGCTTAGTTTTTTTTTTTTGACAAAAAAGAACAATGATTAAAAGTTTCTCGGGTAGGTTTTGGCATTTTAATAATTGAAATTCTTTAGGCCACACGAATTTTTCAAAACTTGTTTTGTTAATTTAACTAGGGTTTAACTAGGGGTGAGCAAAAAAACTGAAAAATCGAATAAACCGAGAAAACCGAGAAAAGTCTTTTTTTTTAATAGCATATATTATAGTTGTTAAAAATATATTTTGATTCGGAAAATCATACAATCTTATGAGTTAAAATATATAAAACATATAAAATCGAAGTTAAAATTCAAAAATTAGTAAAATTAGTCCAACCTAGTCAAACTTGCATAAAATCAAATAAACTTGTAAAATACTTTAAATATGTACTGAAATCATGATTTCACTTAAAAATTAAAAGAGTTATAAACTTAGAGTTGCTCTGTCTATGTTAACTTAGTACTCCCTTTTCTACTAGCCATGAGTCCTCACTTCTCAGTCTCCATTAGCCACTCCTCTAAATTGCCAACACTCAGCAGATTAAGAAATCTAATGAAGAAATTAGTTGATTCGGTTTCACTCTCCACTTACTAGCAGCATTATCTCTAGTCTTTAGTCTCTACTCTCTTAGCTGATTTTGCTTGCTATCAAGATTCAGAACATTCTTGATGAGCGATTTACTTGTTTTTCTGTATTTAGTCTAATATGTGTTTTTTCTGTCTCATCTAGTATGTGAATAATTTGCTTTTATAAACATGATTTCAATCGTATGTCTTGTCTTCGCCTATTCTTTTATGTGTTTTTGATCTTATTATACAATATACTACTATCTCATGAAGATTTATAAAGGATTTGTTGATGAAGAGGGTAATTAATTGGTTTATTTGCATTTAATTCATTAGAAATAATATGTATTCTAATAATATTTAATTAATTCTTGTGGTTTCATGTACAACATATAGAAGAGTCTGGCCATTTTCTAGAGTTTCTTTAATTGTTAAGAAAGATGTAACTAATAGTGAAGGAATTTAAGTGAAATTGAATTTCTTTTTTACTATAAAGACATAGCTTTCATTCATAAACTAGGAAAACTGGATACGTAATTGGAAAAAAAAGAAGCAATAGAATCAGGAAAGCCTTGTATGTAAATCTGCTATGTTCTAGATTTACATCTATGCTAATTTACTGAGTGAATAAGGCAAAGAAGCTTCTTGAAGAATGTTGAGATTTCATAATGAGTTTGATTCTAACCAGATTGTTAAATTAATGGTTGCTTAATCTCTCTTCTAACTTAATTGGGTTATTGGTAGTTAAGTTTCGTTCTTTTTATATTTATTTTATTGGTTTGTTTTTCTTATTTCTAGGCTTTTTCATGTTATTTTTTTTCTGAGTTTGATTTAGATGTTTGTGGTAAATTAAAGATACCTTGCTTAGTGCATTCTTTTTTATTTATAGAAATACTGGGATGTGAGATTATTTTCTTTTTTATACATTTTATGTGTTTTTTTCCAGGGTTTATATGCCGGTTGTGTCTCTCCTTTTTGGTTGAAGCCTAGTTAATGTTTTAGTTTGTTTATTGCATGGTATGAATATGTTTTGAGTGGTTTTTCATTCAAACTTTCTCAAATATTCCTATTGTTTCCGACAAAGTATGGTCTTGGTATTTGTTTAAAATTGTTGTTGAAGTTCAATTTTTATTTGAATGATGTATTTTAAGGTGTTTGAATATTTGTATTGTTTATTTCACTTTTATTTTAATTATATTATATTATTATTTACTACTTAGTTGGATCTTGCAATTTAGTTAGAATATTTTACTTGTAATTTTATGGATTTTAGTTAAAAAATTTTACTTGTGATTTTACGATTTTACTATTAGAGTTTACGATTCGAGTTTATATTGTATGTTCCGTGTCATGTTAAAAAAAACATTTTTAACAACCTTGGCATATACTTGTCCCTCGTATTTATTGTTTCATTACCTTTAAGTTTCTTTTGTTGTGTATAGTGACATGACGAAAAGATTGATGTCTTCTCCCAAGTGCAGGAGTGTCGAAGTAATAAATAACCCGGCA